CCAACAGACATTACCTTTGATGAAGTCCCAGACTTTGGAGAGGGATCTCCACACGAAGAAACAATTCTTAGCGTGATAAATGCAAATCAGATTAATGCAATGTATTTTGCATGCTTCTTTTGATTTTTCTTAAATGTAATTAAGAATTGTAAGAATAAAAAGTAATGAGTATACCACAGGTTCAAATCAGATTAATTGATTACCTATATCTTTCACTTCAATTTTTTTTTATTAATTTAGGGTAATTACAATATATTATCTATTTATATTTTGTCTTAGCGGTTAACAATGCATGCACATATTATAAATATAATTGTTTAAACTCAGAACCTAAAAAAAACAATTCTCTCTTAAAACATTGAATTCACTCAATAAATTCACATTCACTAATATTCTCAAAAATTCAGACAAAATTTAATGTTAAAATTATAATGCACTGTAGATTCAGAACGTATATAAATAAACACATTTCAACATTTATTATTTGAGTCATTTCATTTAGCATATGTGGGGGTATAATTTTAAAAATATGAATTTGATTCTAAATTATAAAATAAAGAATATATTTAATTTTTAAATAAATTTAAATTTTAATAAATTTAATATATAATTTAAAATTAAATTATTTAATAAATTTAAAAATCAAATAATTTAAAAATTACAAATATCCGCATCGTTATTATTCACACTTATAGTGGTTTAATATACAGCTAAAAAACATTACACTTATAGTGATCATTTCCCGTGGTTTAAAGGAGGGGTGTGGGCATTAAGTGCGGTTTGAGTTGTTTTCCACTACCGATTAAACTAATTTTACAGCTTCCGCATTAAAGTCAAAAATGAATAAAGGATGCTATTTTTTTTTTTTTTTACTTTGTGTGGGTTAGTGAGAGGAAATGAGAAATTGGGAGCAACTTTTCTTTTGATTAGTGGACGAAGATATCACTTTCTTTTTATAATGTATCACCACACTTATCAATGGTCACCATCGTCAAACCTCTTTTCCTTTTTCCCTTTCCCACTTTTTATCACAATTTTATATGATATTAACCCTCTCGATGTCAAAATGCCATGTTTTATATATAAAAAAATACATACTAATTTTAAATTTTTAAGAGAATGATTATCTTTTTTTTATTCTCTCTCGTTCCATCCTTATTAAAAATAATCTTTACAATATTTAGAGTCATGGAAGATTTCATAAACCTTTTTATAATAATTAATTTTTAATATATTAATTAATTAATTTAAATTAAATATTATATAAATTCATTATGAAAATAACTCCTTTAATTTCAATTACTTTTTTTTTAAAACTCAATTCATAGTGGTTGGTGGCATCAAATACCAAACCTCGTTTCCTTCTTCTTTTTGCTATTCTCAATCAAAATTTTATATAATTTTTGGAGTCTCTCAAGAGTCAAAATACCATATTTCATATCATCCCTCTTATTAACCAAAACTAAAATGGACTTCCAAAGCCAAATTTAGGTTGCCACGTCATGCGAATATTATATAAAATTTCCATTTCCCCCTTCAACTTTTGCTTGTTTTTAAAGTTTCTTGATGATTGGATTTCTCGGAATTTAAAATTTCCCTTATTGTTTAAGGGATTTTTTTATTAATAATTATTAAAGTTAAATTATATATGAATTTTAAAATTAATTTTTTAAAAAAATTTAGTTTGTATTTTAATAATAATATTAATCCATTAAATTGCTAATGACGTGATAATATGGTTATTTCTTTCCTATTTTTATAGAAAATTTATAACTCTTTGGACTGTCGTTATCGATTAATTATTGTCTATCATTGGTTGTCATTTACAATGATTTCAATATCAAAACATTCGTATTTTACTATTTTTTCTTCTCAATTTGATTCTCCATGAGACTCATTTAAAACTCGACGAACTGTCAAATGAAAATCCATTTAAAGGCTTGACATTAAATTTTTTGAAGAAACACCTCAAACTACTCAAATAAGAGAAAATACCTAATCCCTAAATGGTGAATGTTTTTTTGTTTAGTTTCGAGAATTTTGAAGATATTTAAAAAAAATTGATAAAGTGAAAGAGAATTATGAGGTGGTGGCAAAAGAGACCAAAAAATGAAGGTTTCCGACGAGAATTAAAATTGGATGAAAACCCTCCTAATTTCAATTAAGAAAATGAGATCAAATGAAAAAAAATATTAGCTTCCGTTTGATTAATGATTTAACAACTCAATGTCCTAATTAAAATATGAATTAAAATTCAATACTATAATTGAAATGTTTTACAGTTTAATGTTAAAATGGACACACAACTTAAAATTTAATGACAAATGATATAATTTACTCTTATTTAAAATATGTTAAAAATAAAATGTTTTTAAATAATATATATATATATATATATATATAATTATTTGTAAATATATTTTTTAAAATAATCTTAAGTGATTACAATATAATATATGTTCAGAATTATTTTTAGTCATCGATAACACATACACTTTACAAATATAATTACTTAAACTTATATTCTTTAGAGAAAATAACTTTTCTTTTATTATTGAGATAGCTCAATGTAGTGATAGATTGAATGAGGGCATGTAGAGATAATTTCCCCTAAAAATTTCTAATTCTTACATGTTTTAAATATTTTCTTTATATTTTTATTTTCTAAAATTTTATAATTCCATCTCCTATCATAAATCATATATGTGTATTTTTTTTTTCCTTTTTGGGGGAATATTTAAAAAGTGCAAACCGTCCATATCTTGATCAAATCACTTGTCCTTTCCTGGCCCATAGTTTATTGACTTGGCTTGGTTTTCTAGAATAACAATAGTTGTAGAGAGAGGTCCTTATCACTCATTAACAAGCAATGATCAAAACATAAAGGAAAGTACATATCAAATTATAAAGTGCAGGTATAAATTCAATACGGAGGAATGATTTTATATTAGTAATTTAAATTTTTAAAATTTATATTAAATATTTAAAAGGTATGAAATTATAAAATTTTAAAGGATGTGGAATTATATCACTAATAAAAATATAAAAAAATATCTTAATTATATTAAAAATATATATTTTTAAAAAAATACCTCTCGATCCATATTTGTTTAGAGCACTAACAATGGACATCCTTTTAACAGCAATAAACTGAAGGCTCATACCAACTTATTTGCCTTTTTAGTCCTGTCTTAATTCAAAGATTCCATCGGAACTGCTTTATAAGCTGTTAATGGAGTTCCTCATGCATCATCACATTTCAAGCACTTTACAAATTAAAGATTTTGCAGTTTTTTTTATTGATATTCTTATCATTTTAAATTATTTATTAACATGATATATAAAATAAATAGTGTTATATCAATATATAATACATATAGACTATTACATTGTTTGTAGGCATGTAAACGAGCCGAACGAACAGAACGAACACGAACGGAGGTATGTTCATGTTCGTTCGTTTAATTTTAGCCGAACAAATTAAGGAACACAAACATAAACAAACAAAAAATTTCTTGTTCATGTTCGTTCGTTAAGGAATGTAGATTGTTCGTGTTCGTTCATTTAAATGATAAACAAACACAAATGAATGAACAAAAACAAACGGATGTAAAAAACATAAACGAACACAATAAACAAATGTAAACGAACACAAATGAACGAACGTAAACGAACACAATAAATGAACGTAAACGAACATAAATGAAAATATATATTTTTATTTCCTAACAGTTTTAGGATTATATTTTATTTAATTGTTTTGAGTTTTTTTATTTTTTATTTGTATTTAAAATTAATTGAATTTTAAAATATTTATGAGTATTAGATTAAAATTTATTGGGTTTTAATATTTTAAATGTATCTAGAGAGATTGGACTAAACATAAATGAACGTACATAAACGAACGCACATAAATGAATGAACATAAACGAATATAAATGAACGAACATAAACGAATATAAATGAACGAACATAAACGAATATAAATGAACGAACATAAACGAATATAAATGAACGAACATAAACGAACATATTACCAAACGTTCACGAACGTAAATGAACGAATGAGTCCTCTGTTCATGTTCATTCGTAAACGAACATGAAAAATATTTTGTGTTCGTTTGTTTAATAAATAAACGAACTTCCCATCGAACGGTTCGCTGAATGTTTGGTTCGTTTACAAGCCTAATTGTTTGCCATATCAAAATCATTAAAATTTTATATTTTGTCAATATTTTTTATAAAAGCAAATTTAACCTTATTTTAGAGTTCAAAACAAAATTTAATTCAAAAAAGAATAAAGATGAATATGATTAAAATAATATAACCATTAAAGACTAAATTACCTTTACGTCAAAATAAAACAATTGAAACTTTATTTTTTTTAATCTTCAAACATATAAAATTTATTCACAATCACATTTAAATAGAGATAAATATTAAAATTAAATATGAACTTTTATTAAATGTGCTTTGTATACATAAACTTTTTTTTATAAATAATTTTATGCACAAAATTTTAGTTTAAGGGACAAAAGAGATGTAATAAAAATTCAGGGACTAAAGTTCTGAACACATCATTTTATGATTACATGTTGAAGAAAATAATTATATCAATCCAATATAAAAATAAATAAATATGTAAAATTATTTTTTAAAATGTGCACTTTTGAAACAAAAAAAATGCATGTGTATAATTGAACAAAATCAAAGTTTCATGTACATAATTATTCGAAATCAAAGTTTATATATCACATTAAACAAAAATTATTTTTGTTAATACTTAAAAAAATAAAACATTTAATTTTAAAATTATAGATGTAAAAAGACTAAATTATGTCGAATTAAAGAACAAAGATTAAATTCTAAATTCAGTTATAGTAAAGGGATGGAAATCATAGTTTGACCTATATGTTACTATTATAGTATCACTTTCTTAATTGGACCATTTTTGAGCCCAGCATCAGTTGGACCGTTGGGCGAGCTAAACCCAAAGTCCCATGAAAGAAAAAGGCACAAAAGAGGAAACAAAAACCCGAGTGGCGAGTGAAGTGAGCTATCTGTTGAGTTCCGAAAATGTCTTCTCCGACAGCCCCAACAGCTTGCATCAACGTGTTTTGGCACGAGGGGATGCTAAGCCACGATACAGGCAAAGGCGTATTCGACACTGGGATGGACCCTGGTTTCCTTGAGGTGTTAGAAAAACATCCAGAGAATTCAGACAGGGTCAGAAACATGGTCTCCATCCTCAGAAAAGGACCCATATCTCCTTACATCTCTTGGCTCCCTGGGACTCCTGCTACTATTCCTCAGCTTCTATCTTTTCATTCCCAAGGTACCTATTTCTTTATTTGGCTTTGATTTTGGTTTACTGGAAAATTTGAACTTTTGGTGTAATTAGTTTAATTTGGTAAATTTCCCAGAATATGTTAATATGTTGGTTGAAGCTGATAAAAATGGGGGTAAGGAAGTCTGCTGTGGAACCTTGTTGAAACCTGGTTCATTTGATGCTGCACTTTTAGCAGCTGGTACTACTCTCTCAGCTATGAAATTCATACTCGATGGCCATGGGGAACTTGCTTATGCATTGGTGAGGCCTCCGGGTCACCATGCTCAACCTACTCGAGCTGATGGGTATTGCTTTTTCAACAACGCCGGTCTCGCCGTTCAATTGGCTTTGGATTCCGGGTGTAAACGGGTTTCGGTTGTAGACATCGATGTTCATTACGGCAATGGGACTGCAGAGGGGTTCTACCGGTCGGATAAAGTTCTTACGGTTTCGCTTCACATGAATCATGGGTCTTGGGGTCCTTCTCATCCTCAGAATGGAACGGTTGATGAGCTCGGTGAAGGCGAAGGATTCGGGTATAATTTGAATATACCTTTGCCAAATGGAACCGGTGACAAGGGATACGGATATGCGATGACGGAGTTGGTTATCCCTGCTGTTGAAAAGTTCGAGCCGGATATGATGGTCCTGGTGATTGGTCAAGACTCAAGTGCTGTGAGTTAATTCTTTTGTTCCTATTCTAAATTTTGTGTATTCATTGAGGTGGCATGTTATACTCCTGCAGATTGAAATTACCTTGACAGAGTAGATATATGAAATCGAAACACATTAGGGGATGTCTGAGGGATAAAATGTTGCATTTTCTAAACCACTTGCACATGATCTTTCCGAGCTGGTTCAAAGCTGAATGTTTGTGAGTTTGAATCCTATTAAGCACTTCAAAGTTATTCTTGCCCGGTTAAAGGCTTTATGCATATTTGCATATTCCGGTTCGATGTTCTGAGTTGTTCATTCTTAAATCTTAAATATAGTAAAACAAAGTTCGGTGTTTGAGTGAATAATAGCTTGACAGATAATCCCTTTCGACTTGTGAAGCTCTTTCCATATCTGCATTTTCCTTGTTTAATGTCTGTTGTGTTTAGTTGTAGTGATCAAGCAGTAATGAACCTAGACGAATCCTGAAATGTCTAAAGTAGATGTTGCTTACTATCCCCAACTAAACAAGTGTTGTTTGCATAAATAAATGTGCAGTTTGATCCAAATGGAAGACAATGCTTGACAATGGATGGTTATCGTGAGATTGGACAGACAGTTCGTAGATTGGCAGATAAGCATTGTGGTGGGCGACTTCTTATCGTCCAAGAAGGCGGATACCATATTACATACTCGGCTTATTGCGTTCATGCGACGCTAGAAGGTGTGCTCAATCTTCCATTCCCATTGTTGTCTGATCCTATTGCATATTACCCCGAGGATGAAGCGTTTGCTGTAAAAGTAATCGAAGCAATAAAGCAGTTCCAAATGAAAAATGTACCAATCTTAAAGGAAGTTTGATATAGGGTTTTGCCGTATCTCAGGAATCCAATGACATTGTTCTTCTTATTGTCTTGCATGATAATTCGAAACTTCTCATCGTTTTTCTCATTGTTTCGGACTTTCAGTGCTCAAGGTATACATATGTCGAATTTTGATGCTTGTTGATTATTTGTTATGCTGCGTATCGATTTCGGGCATCTTATAAAGACTAACAAAATATAAATACTGACATTCATTTTCAAGTCTAAATACTTGACGAGTTGAACACTTTTGGAACTTTTACTAACAAATTAAGATACATGTCAATGCACAAAGTCAAGCAGCATACAAGTGAACAGCCAAAAGGACATGAAACATTATAAGAACATAAATACATGAATCTCTTACCAAAACAATGGGGATATGTGGAAACTACAATAGCAAACTGACTTGTTTTAGACGTTCGTATAAGCTTAAGGCTGTAAACCCATCTGCTTTCTGGTTCTGCCCACAAACAAGTCTCGGGATTTGAGCAAGCCTGGAACACGTCCGCTGAGGGTCGTAAAAGGAAACTGGGCGACGGCATCTTTCCTGCCAAGGGAAACCATTGCAATCGCCGAACCAGGCTTGTACTTGGTCATTTTGCTTTCTTTACCTCCATCAATCAACAGCTTCAGGTTTTTAAAGACCACCATGGCATGTTTATGAGCTATGTAACCTTGTTTGAGTTCCTGGATGAACAAAAGAGGGTGGATTCAATACATAAAACCCTACACATTTGGAAGGTTAGCACTGAGAGATAGTATATTAATCTTTGGCGAGGACTTACTGGGATATCAGTGATATCTCCAATTGCAAATATGTTGCTTCGACCCTTGACTCTCAAATACTCATCAACCATCAACCTTCCATTTTTATCCAAGTTGGTCTTCAATATAGTCTCACTAAGCCATGCTGTAGACAATGGTTTTGCGACACAGAGGAAATGACAATCTGCTTTGATGCTTTCTCTGGCCGAGGTTTGATATACTTGGCTTCCATCCGAAGTGGAATTCAGATCAACTGCTTGCTCTAGTTTTACTTCAACTTTCTTTGATCTCAGCCAACCTAAACTCTTATCAGAAGCCTTTGTTCCTATGAATTCAACCAACCTCGGTCCCTTATGGACCAGGGTAACATTCTTTCCGGGAAAGTCGGTGGCGATTTCTCCAGCAAGTTCAACACCAGACGGACCTCCTCCGACAATCAAAATAGACTGAGCAGATTGTATCTTTTTATTTTCTGCCAGCATGAGGATATAATGGAATTAACTTGAGCAGAATATAATCCAAAAATATTCTTTATAACGTACTAAAAGGCTGAAGAATCGTGCTCGACTTGAGTGAAATCCTCAAGAATGCATTCTACAGCTAGGATATATGCACAATTGATAATTCACTTTGATTTCACAAAACATTTGCAGTATGTTCATATTCTCCACTCCTAATAATAAGAATAGGAAGACAATTAGTTACTGCAGTTTTTTACCTGCATCATATTGGTGAAGTCTCTCCGACTTAGTTATGGGAACATGATCAGCGTGTCCAGTAGCTATTACAAGATAATCATAAACAATATGACGGCCGTCGGCGGTCAATACTTCGGTGTCGGTGATGCTTATCGCAGCGGACGTAACGATACGTCCATTGGTAAGGTAATCTCTATGGTTTATCACTGATCTATCCGCAAACGATGGCTCCACCATGTTCCTTAAGTTTGCCCATGTGAGCTCAAGATACTCCTTCCTGAGATTGATTAAAACAAGGACATCCCATTAATCCCTCTCCACTCCACGGCAATTGACCAAATCCAGTTCAATCAGTTGCCAGCATTAAGAACTTTTAAAGAGCCAAATACAAGCTAAAGTAACCCAAAATAACTACAATTCTATATTCTGTACACATATCAAAAGGCTTGCACAAGGAAAAATAAAATAAACCAAGATATTCAATTCAGCTGCTCGGCTCATTAAACCTGCATTTCAAAGTTTTTCATAAGAAATGAATTGACAATGAAATCTTACGGATCGATGAGAGTAAGATCAGCATTGAATTGGATAGTTTTGGCGAGGAGAGAGCCGCCAATTCCACCGCCAACAACTACCACCCTTCTTCTTCCTCCTCCAGATTCCATAATGTATTCAGTTTTTTTTTCCTTGCCTTGTTTCAGATCATGGAAGAAAAGCAAGCGCGGGTGCTTATTTTAAAGCAACTTAAGTTGGCATCAAAGGGAGAATTGGTGTTTGGTTTTGATAAAGAAATGCAAGGTCAACCATTGACAGGGAAGAAAGCTTAAATTCTTCCAAATCTCATATTTTGTAAATACAGCCTGCATTATGTTATTCCAAAAGCATCCCTTCCGCGAAAATAAGATCTAAGAATATTCAATTAAAAATTACATTCTATTCAAAAAAAATTACATTAAATAAATAAATAGTCTCTTCGTCTTGGGTCCAAGGACTGATCTAATGGATTGGATGGCTCGATCATTGTTTAATATTGATATTTAGACAAACTACATTAGATATCACTTAACTATTAGAAATAATTTACTTGATCAATGAATTTTTAAATATTATAAAATACTCATTAAGCGTTTTTAAAATACTCATTAAATTTATTAAATTATATAAAATAATCTTTAAATTTATCAAAATTTATTACTATTTATAATGTTTTATATATCATTTTGTCTTTGTTGATCGGTGGCGGCACCAACTTTAATGTTGGTTGTCGACCGTCGGTATTCTTTATTGTCCTTTTATTTTCTTTTGTTTTTTCAGTGAGTCTGCTTGTATGACACGCTTTTCTCTGTCTTTTGGCACGTTTTTTGACCGTTTGACCGTTGTTTTCATTTATTTTTTTTCCTAAGATTTGATTAGACATCGCCACGACAGGTCAAGATGACACTTATTTGATATATTGTTTATTTTCTCTGCTTTGGACCCTTGGATTGGATTTGGATGCCCGTTATGTGTTCGTGGATAGCTTTTCACATAGTTCGAGTCCGATTTGCGGTTTGTCGTTGGTCTTTCAGTATTTTGATCCCCTTTTGTAGTTCGTTTGTCGATGCGACCAGATATGTTTGTATCTATATATTTGTTCGAGTTTTATTGGTTAGATTTTAATTTTTACTTGTATGGTCCTTATATGATTTTAAGTTGCTAGTTTTGTTTCAATTATTATAGGAAAATGTCGGCCTAATTTACAATTATAATTGTAAATATTTATTAATTTAGGATATTTCCTATTTTGAATAAAATTAGTGATTTATTTAAAAAAAATAATTATTTTGTAACGTTTGAAAATTCAATAACTAAAAAGAAAAATAAATTAACATAATTCAAAATTCAAAATTGACAAGTTAAAGAAGATGATTCTACCTAATTAATAAATGCAGAGATGACTCACGTGCATTATTAAAGCTCAAACTTGAAGATTCATAATTTCCATTAAACTAGAATGCTTATCGTTGCAATCAAGCTTTCGACCTCCTACCGGCTTATGCGTTTGGAAATAGTCAGATGATAAGTTACATCTAGAATTGTCCCGGAAAATGCAATATAAATATTCAAGGCTTACGTATTGTTAAATTGAAAACTTACATCTAGAATTCTGAATAAACTAATTGCGACGTATACGTACTCAATTCATTTAATAAATTTGTGTTGGACAGAATTGCTTTTACATTCTATTTAATAACTTCCTACGCTTCTCACTTAATATTTAAATCTGATTTCATTTGAAAAATCATACGGTAATTGAACTTTATTATAATAATATGTAATTAAATATATATTTTTATTTTGTTGTTGTTGAGCGGGGGAGGGTGATTTTATAAAGGAAGAGAAAAGCAAACAGAATTGAATTATTCTTCGGGTATAGACACGTAAATCAACTCAGGTGGTTTGCAATTTGCAATAACTTTTATCTTGGTAAACAAGGATATGATATTTGGTTCTATTTGTTTGTTAATAATATCTTTTTGGGGTAAAGTGTTTTTGAACAATTTTTTATGTAGGAGAAGAAAAAGAGGAAATTTTGTTTTTAATGAGTATTGAACTCGGAACTTAAAAAAATGAAAAAGATTAACTTAAAGCTTTTAATCACTTGCTCTATAGATTGTTGATAGAAAAAAAAAACATATTTAAATTTAAACTATAATAACTCTAAAGATAAAATATGCATAATAAAATTCAAAACGAGACTTTAGCTTAAACGCTCAAAATTATACATACATGCGTAAGGATTGATTAATTCCATTGTGAAACTAATTCTTTAGGAGTTGTATTACCGATTTCAAAAGTGAAATACTATTCACAAGTTTGAAAAATTTTAGATATGAAAAAGTTATTTTATGAGTCCTCTTCGTCATATAACCAATTCAAATATGTTTACAATTTTTTCTTAATCATTATTAAATTTAGTTTTATTTTATAATTATTTCTTTCTTTCCATATCAACGTTAACTCTCCATCTCTTCTTCAACCTCTTAACTCTCATCTACCCCTCTCTTCGTTGACCATAATCACCATAGTCACAGTCAATTTCCTTCCTTCCCATGCTAGCAACCTAAATCGTGTTATCTTCATTACATATTAAGTTAAATCGTAATTAATTTTACATAAAAACTCCCATTGGTTTTCTTTTTATTCTGAGATGTAATTAACATTTATTGTAGAACACGGAGAGTCAGTCAATTCTTAGTTCTTACACTTTGTAAGCAATTTCATAGGGAAAAAGAAAGAAAAATTATGAAACAATCTAATTGACATGGTATGCTAACAATAACTTTATACAATTAAAGATGAAATGATTTAAGTTGTAAGCATAGTATGGAAGGATAAAAAGTGACGGTGGTTATGGTGATTATGGTTAACGAAGAGATACAGGAGGGAAAGTTAAGAAAGGGAGGATTCATAAAATAATATTAAACTACACAATAAAATATAATTTAATTTCTTTGCATACCTTCAACTTCGAGAATTAAATTAAACACATTACTATGTTATAAAATATTTCAAGGGTAATAGATGAGAGTGTGAGCCTCTATTTTTGTTTTATTGTGTTTTCTTTTTTCTTTTTTATCTCTGAACTTTTTATCTTTTATATTTTTTCAGTTATTGATGACAATTTTAATTTTGAATTGATAATCGATTATTAGTTCTTCTTTCTTTCATTTAATCTGAGTTATATTATTATTTAATTAGTTTTTCCATTTTTTTATAAAAATAGTAGATAATTTTATTTATTCTTATAGTATGTTCTTTATATGTTCTTGAGATATTTTTTTTCTCAAGATTGGATTTGACGTAACTTCTCCGAATTCAGATGGTGTTTAGTTGATTATCATGTTGAACTATTCATGTTTTAATTCTCAAGTCGAATATTTAATAGACGCTCATAATCACTAAGGATATATCGCAATTGAGTTGTAGTAATGTGAGTTTGTCAACGAGTTATTTTTATTATATGTAATTTTGTGTTAGTCGTCATGGCGTTTATTCTTCATTGTTGATAAAAGTATTTGTCCATATCTATTATTTATTTGAATTTTAATATTTTTCTTGCATTTTTTTTATTTTTAGGTGACTAGTTTGTACATTTTGATGGTTTCTGGAAAAAATATGACTTACGTGATAAGTTTACTCTTGTTTTTGTAGAATCTTCTTGTAATTTTGGGTTACTTACTCTTTATTTTTTTTTTGGTTAAAAGAGGTACAAAGGGCTGCTCAGCTTCCCGTTTTATCAACAACTAGAAACTTCTCAGCTTCTTTGGGGGGATTATGTAGCAAGATTATGTCTCCCTGATATCTCCATATTTGCTTGGCGATTATATCCGTTGTTCGAATTACCTCTCTAGGTATGTGCTTTAGTTCAACCATCCAATTATTCTTTAATAATTTCTCAACATGTTGCAAGATAGTAAATTTCCTGTGTTCAATCGATTTGTTCTTGATGAGGTTGATGGCTTTCCTGTTGTCAGATTCTAAAATTACTTTTCTTTCTCCCTTCATCCAAGCAACCTTTAATCCCTTATGGATGCCCCAAAGTTCTGCTTCCAAGATGGAACAAGTCCCGATTTTCCTTCCAAAACCCCAAAGCCAATTTTTTTTGTAATCTCTTACAATTCCCCCGCATAAAGCTTCTCCCGTGTTCTGTCTTTTGGTCCCATCAGTATTAACCTTGCAGTATCCTCTATCTGGTTTCTGTCACTTGTATCAGTTGCTATTTCTGGTTTGTGTATCTCCAGTTTCAGTAATTTATGTATTTTGAAGATCTTGGGTATGTCTTATGGCTTTCTAAATTATAGAGTCCATTTCGATCATTTCTGAGTCGAAAATCACCTGATTTCTTCTTTTCCAAATGTACCAGATAATAGAGCTGAAGAAGGTAAGCCAGTTCTCAATTCTTGGCGATGGGGATTCATTTGTTTCGATATTATTAATGATCCACTCCTTGATGTTGTTACTCAGAAACTTATCCATTTTCTGGGTATCTAGCAGTTCAGTCCAAATCAGTAGGCTTTTTGGGCAGAATCTCAGTAAGTGATTGATATCTTCTGTCTCATAATTACACATCGGGCATCTTTCATCAGCTGTCATATGCCTACGGGCTCTTTCCGAGTTGGTCAGTAATTTGTCGTTCCCTGTAAGCCATAGAAAAGTTTTAATTCTGGGGATATTCTTATGCTTGGCAATGGTGCTCCAGATTTTGTCCTCTATGGAATTGATATTTGCTATTTTCTTGTAGGCAGATTTGACTGTGAATACTCTTTTCTCCGAAAGAATCCAACTTGGAGAGTCTGCAATGCGTTCTTCCACTGGAGGAGGAAAAGCTTTCAATTTATTAATGATTTGTCCTGGGAGTAATCGAGTAAGTTTGTTCCAGTCCCAGGTACCATTATGGTTTATCATCTACTTAACTTTGGATCTATCATTCTCCATTTCAATTGGTTGGTTGCATAGTCTGGATAACATTGTTATCTAGCCATGTGTCTTGCCAGAATTCTATTTGATTTCCGTTTCCAGTGTTCCAGCAAATATTCTGTTTAAATTCTATCCATAGGTTGCATATGTTGTTCCAAAGAGTTGATCCTCCCTTCTTTGTTAGCTTATCAGGCAGTACCCATTCCATCTTGTATTTGTTTCTCAATACCTGCACCCATAAAAGATAATTTCTATTAATAAGTTTATAAGCTAATTTAAAAATGAAAGCCTTGTTTTGGATCCTTAGATTCTTAAGGCCTTGTCCCCCTTCTTTGATTGGTTTACAGAGCGTATCCCAG